TGTTTGTCTTCTTGTGCTTGTTTAGGAATTCTGGACAGGCTCTTCAATTTAGAGGGCCAGACTTTGTCTTCGAGTCATTTGTTCTTGAATCAGCATAATTATCTTCAATCTAGCCGTTGAAAATCAAGAGATTGATTTTTCCTTACCAACGGGTAGAATTTCTTCATTCAGGACTTAGATAATTTTTCTAAGTCTTTTCTCACTTGTCCGCTTTCTGAGAATTCCGGTCTTCAGTGAGTCTTCCGATTCTTAGCTGACAAATCCGGATGAGTCATTTTCAGACTTCCGGGTGAGAAAGAGATCCGCGCTAGTCTTCCGATTTGGATGACTTAGCCTTCAGCGGGTTGTAGCGAGACATCCAGTTCTTATGTAGTCTTCTAGATCTGAGGATTTACATCTGATTGAGAAATCCTTACTTGTCTCTGACATTTCCGAACAAGATATCCAATTTCCATATCACTGAATTTGATTAAGTCTTCAGGCATCAAAACGCTTAAGGAAATATCACAGCTTTATTGGAAATCACAAGAGCTCGGTTTTGACAATATTTCCAAAAAGAAAAATTACATTGAATAATGGGGGAGACCTAAAGTCCCTATTACATTCTAAATACATCATCATCAAAATCTATAATATTTTTCCCAACAATTTCCCCCTTTTTGATGATGACAAACAAGTGTTTAAGAGTTCCGGTCGCTGTACTGAGAACTAATTTTATAACTTTCTTTTTGTTTCTCATAATATACAGCTTGTTAACGAAAACTCTTAAGCAAATACAATTCAAATTACAATAATTCCTAAACCAAGTCTTGTCTTGAGATTTTGTGATATCTTCCGCCATTGACCGTTTTCAGCTTCAGCAGATTCTGCTTGGCGGAGCGGTTGGCGTTGCGTTTGATAGATCTCTATTATCCAAAGTGGATAACCAAGATCTAGGAAGCAACACATCTCTCAAAGAATAAAAATAAAAATGAAAAAAGAAAACAAAAGAGAGATAAAATGACAAGAAAGAAAAGGTTTTGGAAAAGAGAATTGATTGTGAAAAAGATAAAATAAAGATTTTAAAGATGAAGGAAAAAACAAAAAAAAAAATTAAAAGAAATTTTGAAAAAGAGTTCAAAAAAAAATTTTGAGAACTCCTTGAGAGAAGGGAGCAGAGGCACCACCCAAAAAAAAACTTGTAAGAAAATTGGGGGGACTGCTAACAAAAGATTTAGAAAAAGTAAAGAAAGGAAAGGGAAGGGGAAAGAGATCAAGGTAAAAATAAAAAGAAAAAATAGAGAGAGTGTTGTTCCAGAGAAAGTGTATGGTATAATCCTGAAAAATACGAGAATTACACCATAAACTTTCTCTACTGCCGAGAATTGCACCATAAACTTTGAATTACTTTCTTTCTCACTAGGCTTTTCTCCATTGCCGTCTATGAGGGTGAGAAAGAGAAATTTCTCCATTGAGGATATTTTCTTGGTGTTTTTCTCAGACAGTGAACTTGAAGACTTTCATATTTAGAGAGTTGTTTGTGATGGAAATGGATTGGGATATCTTGATTTAAATAGGGGAGGAGGAGGTTCACGGGTTCCATTAAGTGGGTAGTTGGAACGGTGAGAGTAAAGGAGTTTCAACTTCCAAGAAGTTGAAAAGTAAAAGGAATCTTTTACCAGTTACGAATGGATTGAAACTGTTCCAATTAGAAAATCAGTTTCATTTGGTTTGAGAAACGTAACTGTTTTAGTTTGGCTAAGCCCAAAAGAGTGGCCCAAAAAGAAAAGAAAGCTATGTACTAAAGGGAAATTATTCCTATTGGGTTCTCAAGGCC